GTGCGACGGAATTTATTTTAACAAAATGGAATTCTAAAGTACATTTTAGAAGAAACGTGAATTTTAAATTAACAAGGTGATCGAATCGAGGCATTAAATTATTTTATTAATTTTAAGTTTACTAAAATTACTTAAGGTTCAGTATTCGGCCGAAAGAATTTTTTATAATATATCACATTGTGGCAAACGTGTACGCCTCTTAATTCGCCGAAATAGCGAAGCAATCGCTGCTCATAGACATCTGCAAATTCATGTCGTTGCCTACCTTAAATCGACAAAGGAGGGGACGGATAGAAAGGCAATATTCCTTCCTAATGCTATCTTCGGCTGTTGTATATGGCAACTAGCTGTTCCCGTGCGGCTTCATCCGAATGAAATTATTAAAAAAATTGAAAATTTTATTTCATTGTTTACATTTGTCAAATTATTAATAGCGAAGGTCAAAATGACATGAAAAACCTTAGCAATCTTTCTTTCTTGATACTGGCAGCAACTTATGGTCTCTATCCCGCATTAAGGTTTTTATCCAAAATATTTACCCCCTAAGTATAATAGCGTGAAAGTATATAGCCTAAAGCATGACGTAAGTGTAAGGGTTTTTTTAAAAAAATGATTTGTTCAAAAATATGCTGTAATTGCTGACATCTTAGGCAACAAAGAATTGTGTGTTTACGCTTTATTATAATAGTATAGATAGCAGATAGAGGAATATATTAACTTCTTTTTGTACCCTTTTGTATTCTTGATAATTTATAGTTCGCTTTATTTAAGTAATTTATTCTTTAAAGCGGCAAACGTACTCTCCGACGGGAAATATTGGTTAGCATTGCAGCGTGAAATTGTGCTTCCTGATGCGAGAATCGCTGCATTATTGTTAACTCTGAAAAAATACGTTACGAAGTCTGTTTAATTGCTTGATATCGGGAAATACTATCTATGAGTAGCAGATGGTATTTTAAAATATAATTAAAGTGTCATAAACGCTGATTCGTTTTGTATTTCATATAATGTTAACTCGCAATTCCTGTTGCGCCTAGTAAAAAATACTTAGCAATCCAATGAGTTCTTCCAGGCTATTAATCTGTGTCAAATTTCTTCTAGGTTGAATCGTCCTGCAGCTTGTATCAAACATCTATCTAAACTTGTGAATTTTTCATATTACTAAACATAAAGATGGAAAACTAAATATTAAGAGTGGACACACGCGCACATCGCTAAAGTATTGAGCGACTGTCAATTGTTTTTCAGCCATTTCAACAGTTTAGTTGCACAACTAAAAAAATGAGTGTGCGCTTCACATAACCTCATAGGAATCAAAAATAGACTCGTTGTCTAATAAAACAAATATTGTCTTTAAATTAAAAAGACAATTTAACTTACATATTAAACATATCACAGATTCATTATATAATGTTAATGGATTTAGAACAAAGGGGCAAGTTTCCTCAAGGCACACGTTACGTTATCAACGGGTGGGGCAATAATAAGGGCTTCAGCGGGGCAAATTAATTAAAGCGACCTTGTGAACTAACGCAGGATAGGTTAATAAGGAACCTTTGACTTCTAATTATCAAAACTTATAAACGCCTAATTATAACACTGGGTTAATTTTAAAGTTTAAAATAATTATTACAGAATTAAGATTATTTGTATTTTTTCTGTTAAAACTTTAATTTTTGATGTTAAATTTGCTTGAATGTTTTTTATGATTTTGTAAAACGAATGATGCATTTTTTAAGTCAACGGCACAATTTATATTTTTAACCAGCTTTCGACCGCGACGCCGTTCGCGTGGTATTAAAAAAGACAAAAGTAAGTAGGCTACATATGTGTTCTTCCAGACTATGTTCTACATCTGTGCCAAATTTTACCCGGATCCATTCAGCTGTTTAGGCTACAAACTATAACACACATCCATCTAAACTTTCGCATTTATAATATGAGTAAGATTGTCTTAGACAAATGGCAGTACAGTGAAACGAATGTTATTATTTTCTTCGTATGTGCCGCTTAGAATTTAACAGACGTCGAAATCTTAGTGGACTTTATCTAAGCGCTGTTTTATTAATTCCACGCGGACGGAGTAGCGAGCGAAAGCTAGTCGTTAATATTTAACATATAAAGGCAATTAAAAAAATACTAAACAGAATATTAATTTAAAAATATCGACGAATTGAATACCTCCTTCTTTTGGGAAGTCGGTCAACAAGAAATAGAACATAAACTATGACACTCGCACTTAAGAAATATTGAATTCAATTAAGATTTTCGCTGAGGCTGGGGTCTGGAGGTTTTAATGTGGCGACTAATACGGGTCGGGTGCGCACCGTGAAATTACACCCCAACCCCTTGTAACAAATTAACCAATCCGCAAAGTCAGAAGAACAATCATTTAATACTCTGCTACGTAAATTCGTCAACAAGTTGTAGAATATCCTTTACTATGACGTCATTTTTAATTGATATATAACCCAAAATATGCCAAAAACAAAGTTGTGGAGAACAGAATAAAGTGGAGAAAACCCCATTTCCAATAAGCAAGAGCATCAAATAATAAGCTAAATTCATAACATCACTTCATATTACATATATGAAAATTTGATGGACGGATGTTTGTGAGAGTTTGTAGCCTAAACCGCTTAACGGATCTCGATAAAATTTAACACAGGTGTAGAACATAGTCTGGAAGAACACATAGGCTACTTACTAAGTTTTTTTTTTAATTACGCGCGGACGCAACTGCGGGCGAAAGCTAGTCTATACTAATATTATAAAGATTATTTTTGTTTGATTGTAATTAATAGGCTCAAAAACTACTGGGCCGATTTTAAAAATTCCTTCACCGTTAGAAAGGTATGTTATCTGTAAGTAACATAGGCTATATTTTTTTAAATTTTTTACTATTATTTTTCAGTTTCACGCGCGGAAAAGTTAGTATAATATATAAAGTTGATATCGCCGCAATTTAAGCCCCTTTTGAATTCATTAGCGCGGGTCATGTTGATATCGTCGGTCTGTGATGGTGAACGCATCCATGCGACTAATTGGACACAACCTGCGACCGCTGTGACGACAAATGACGCACCGCTTGTTTTCCATTTACAAAAAACTAGCTTTCGCCCGCGACTCCGTCCGCGTGGAGTTAAAAAAAATGCAAGTACCATATGTGTTCTTCCAGATTATCCTCTACATCTATGCTAATATTGACATCTGTTCAGCCGTTTTGGCTACAAACTCTAACAAACATCCATCCATCTAAACTTTCACATTTATAATATTAGTACGAAGTATGATTGAAAATCCCAGGTCATTAAAAATTTAGGCAGATTAACAATTGAATCATTTTTTAGTTTAACTTTGCTATCAATAGTAGTAGAAATGGTAAAACTTAAAATTAAACTTTGTACGAAATTTGAAACACCGTATATTTAAGTATAATTTAATTAACTCTTATATGTAAGTAAACATTGCTCGGTTCGTAACAAACGGCGTTATTAAAAGCGAAATAAATATACCAGCAACCGAGCGCGATGAACGCGATCGTTTTAATCAACTTTAGCGCACTTAATTACACTAAAAAGTATAAAAGCAAATTTATAAATAACGTATGCAGTATTTTAAAATAAAGATTACAATTATATATTCAGATACCATACCAAGGTTAGCGTGGTATGGACATGTTATGTGACGAGTGGATGGGGACATAAACCAGAAAGTGTTAAGATTAATGTAGGTGGCTACAAAGGAAAAGGAAGACTGAAGAAAGTATGGATGGATTGTGTAAAAAAGGATATGCTTAAGAAAGGAGTGGTTTCAGATATGACGGCTGATAGAGATGTATGGAAGAGCAGCACATACTGTGCCGACCCTCCATAGTGGATAAGGGCAAGTTGATGAATTATATATTCAGATATTGATTATTTCAGTGATCTTTTAGTATCCTTCATCCATCCAAACGAGCGAGCGGTCATCTGAATTCGTCAAACTAAATCGACGGAGGAGGAGACGCACATAAAGAGGATATTTCCACTTTCTATGCGTTTCCTCCACCGTCAAATTCACTTTTCTTTCCCACTCTTTCCTATGAATTATTGTTCTGTTTAAATTAATTCTTTTTAAATGAACTCTCTGGCACCACACTCATTAGACGAAACGCAGAATTGCTCTTACTTCACCTCTGTTTTCTGCGTGGTCGTGGTGTTATACCGGACGAGCCGACCCTACAGTGCGAAAACGTTAAAGCTGGCTCTGCCACTATTATTGTATATCTTGGGCTGCCGCAATAAGAATCAGAGACAACATACCAGTCTATACCAGACCAAACCGAACCAAACACGACAAAACCAGACCAAACTTTACTTATAAAACAAGACGTAGTAGTAGAATTATCTTAATTATTAAACCCTAGCTTTCGCCCGCGACTCCGTCCGCGTGGAATTAATAAAAACAAAAGTAGCCTGTGTATTCTCCCAGACTATCTTCTACATTTATGCCAAATTTCATCGAAATCCGTTAAGTCGTTAAGGCTACAAACTCTAACAAACATCCATACATGTTAACTTTAGTATTTATTAGTAAGATAGTTACTTATCTAATGATATTTGTTCGTAACATAAATGTGATCGAAATAACACTGGAACAGTGGATGGAAAACCACAAATTAATGTAGGCCAGTTGGAATTATTAATAAGTGCATTAGTTGATTAATAAGTAGCATATATTTATTATTTAATAGCATTGTTTACTTTGTTATTACATTATTAAATCTTTATAAATAAATTATGTAGCGTATTTATTAAAAAATGTAGCTTTCACCTGCGACTTCGTCTGCGTGGGATTTCAAAAAATACGAACTATGGGTTCTTCCAGACCATGTTCGTCAAAGTCGAGATCCGTTTCGTTGTACCGGAGATATCTTTTACAAACATCCACCCTTCTATCTAAACTTTGGCATTTATAATAGTAAGAAAAAAGACTCAATAATCCAAAGTAGGATTGGCGACAGGCAGGCGGCAGGCCGCAAATCAGTGAGGTATCCAAAAGTAGGTTTTTGAAACCCGTACATGAAAGTTATGTGGAGGACAAAAACATGTTGTGTCGACCATACGGGATGATAAGGAAGATGACGATGAAGTAATACAGAATAAAAACTTTACAGTTCACAAATATATTTGAATAAACATTAAAATAAGACTAATTACAGTTACATTTTTATTAATGTATTTTTGTGCCTCAAATAACATGTCTCATGTGCTTTTGAAAGTGAAAATAAAGTATTTGTATTTGTTTGTAGCAGGTTTCCATAGCAACTAAGTACTGGGTTTATTGTCCTTCATCGACAACAGAAAGGTGAAATATGAAAATGTTGTCTTCAGAATCTAAAAATATACATATTTTTATTAGATGCTGCTATTTTACTTCTATTGTCTAATACTTGTGAAAGGCATTATTAGAAAAGATTTTGTCTGCGATTATACATATTTGTACTTTTTTTTTACAGAATTAATCCAATGTGTCCAATGTAAGTTAGGAGCGACTTATAGCCAGTTTCCTAGCTCCGTTTATCCATTCATTGGTTTTTTTGATTCAATAAATTCTTGGATTGCGTTTCCGAATCCCGTAACTGGAGTTTTACTTTTAAATTGAGGTTAACCTAACACTAATTAATCACTAAATAATCTATACTATTATAATAAAGCGTAAACACACACTTCTTTGTTGCTTAAGACATCAGCAATTTCAGCATATTTTTGAATCATTCTTTTTTTAATAAAAAGCCCTACACTTACGTCACGCTTTAATATTAAACTTAGAGGGTAAATATTTTGTATAAAAACCCTATTGTGGGAAAGAGACCATAAGTTGCTGCCAACATCAAGAAAGTAAGATTGCCAAGGTTTGTCATGTCATGTCATTTTGACATTTGCTATTGATAATTTGACAAATGTAAACAATAAAATAAAATTTATATAATTTCATGCGGGTGAAGCGGCACGGGAACAGCTAGTGATAAAATAAATGGGAACTTTAGCAACCCAGCATTCACCTTGGCCATAGTCAGTACGCCGATTGATATCATGCCCATACTAGTGATATGAATTGGTTCCTGAAGCCGTTGCAGGAAGATATAAAGTGTGCGACGATTCCTTACATCCATGCGCTCCCAGGATACGTAGTACAATTCATTTTGTAATTTCTCACTCTGGTAATTAATAAAATTGTAATGTAAATATTGAATACTTTATTTCGCCTGCTAATCCGTATGAAAAGAATTATAAAAGTAAGTAATCTATGAGTTCTTCCAGTCTATTCTCTACATCTTGTCAAATTTCATCAAAACCTTTTACGCGGCAAACTTGAACAAATATCCATCCATCTAAATTTGCGCATTTAAAATGTAAGTAAGAAGTTAGTTATTAATGTTAGTAAGCTTTACCTCGGTTTGTACTATTTCAAATACAACAGATATTAAGATTAGTTGCCCAAAGATTAATATCGTTAGAGGTCCGTATTTAGAAATTGCGTTTGCGTCCTGCAAAGGTGCAAGTACTGTATATACCTTAAATAAGGTGCGTCGAAGGTCAGTTGAAATATTAAAAAAAATCTTACCCCTTGTGAACATTCGAATAATGACAAACAACAAAGAAATAAATGACTTAAGTAGTTTATACCCAACATTGGACCAAAGAAAGATGATATTTCACCTGCAAAACTAAAACACAACAAAATCATTACGATTTCTTAATTTAATAAATAAGCAACAAGAGTTAAATAAATGGTCGAAACTGTCAAACTGTTTTTTTTTTTATAATAAAGGGGGGCAAACGAGCGGCGAGAACACCGAGGTGGTCAGCGACGCCCATGGACAGCCGCAACACCAGAGGAACTTTGCGTTGCCGGCCTTTAAGGCAATGATAGGCTCGCTTCTTGAAGGACCCTAAGTCGTATTGGTTTGGAAATACCGCCGAGGACAGACTGTTCCACAACGCGGCTGTGCAGGGCAGAAAGTTCCGCGAAAACCGCACGGTTGTGGAATGCCAGCCATCGAGGTGGTGAGGATGGTATCTGGCGGTCTGTCGTGTCGTCCGATGACGAAACTCGGCAGCAGGAATTATAATTGCACGTGTGTAAACCAAACTTTAGCTGAATAACTAACTGATAGTTAAAAATTTTATCTACAAACAGTTTTAAGTGAACAGTTCGATAGATCAGTTAAAACTGAGCGTATTTATATGCTTTAAGACTCAAAATATATACTCACATGACAATAAATCTATGATGATCAATAACTGCTTTCAATCTTAAATGTATTATATTATTTTCTTCATTAGTAAACATTTTGACTGAATCAGTCTCTATTTCCGAAGATCCATTGAGTTTGGATAAATTATTTAAGCTACCTTTCAATGCTCGTAAATGAGCGACAATTTGGAACATTATAAGTATCAAAAACAAATCAATTGAGGAAATGTACGCGGCACAATTACCTGATATATATATACTATACATAGTACATAATATAAAATGATCAACGACATCAAATCCAGGGAATTTATAGAAAAGAGGTAATTCATATTTCACGTCGTTTGTCTTTACGGTACTGAATACATTTGCTTTGTAGTTATTGTACAATGGAATTGTGCTAATACATGAAATACCTAATACTACGAAAACTAACATAATTCTTAAGAAAATCCAGGATATCTTGTTAGTAGTTGCGTTGATCTGGAAATAATATTGAAATATATTATCTCCCGAATATGAACGGGATATAATCTTTCTGTTGTCCTTCCCCTCCGATTAAAGGAATTGCGTGTTATTGATGCCTATGGGTAGTGCTTTGCTATTACAGCGAATATAGGTGGCCGATATTTGTAACATAAAAAAAAACTATTCACAAGAGCCTACGATACATCGTAGCTACAAAATCTACCAAATCGATTTTTAAAAATTAAATCTCCAAAATGAGAATTATTTTGTCTCTTGTTATGAATTGGATTTTTAAATTTTTCCAGTTTGATTAATTTATGGGTAATCTTACCTCTTCAAAATGTTTTCCACATTGTTTAAAATTTTCTAAATGAAATTGCGCTATGAACTTTTTTATTATAAATCCATATTTTTTTAAACAAAGCAAAATTGCTCTGACCTAAAAGCATAATTGTACATATTCAATCTTAGTACATTTGAGGATTTATAAAAACTAACTGTCGCTAGCTACTTCGTCCGCGTGAAATTACAAATTCGTTAAGTTCTTACAGACTATGCTCTACATTTTCGACAAATTTCATGGAGATCTGTTCAGCAGTTTAAAATATACCTTCTTCTAAACACACAAACTCTAATTTTACTAATATTATAAACGCGAAAGTTTAGATTAATGTTTGTTAGAGTTTGTAGCCTAAACTGCTGAACGGATCTCGATGAAATCTGGGACAGATGTAGAACACAATCTGGAATAACACATAGGCTACTAACAGGCTTTTTAATTTAACGTGGAGGGAGTCGCGGGTGAATATTAGTTTTTAATATTAGTAGGATACTTAAAAATGCCAAGATTGTCAATGTTATGGTCAGACAGACGTGTCCTATGTCGAAAACATCGATCTTCTTCCAATATTGGATCAAATAGTTGAACTGCCCATACGTTGCGAGTATTATCTGTATCATCATTAAGCGTCGGTGATTTCTTATAATAAATGTAATTTTTTCATCGAACATTTCTTCAGGCCAAGCGCCTAATATCCATAGAAATAAACGATGCACCTTTATATAGTTAATCGATAGCACGTTATATCTGCAATAATCAGAGAGAATCAAGGATTTTTAAAAGAACATTTTGGTAACTACGAAAGTATCATTTGTGCAGCGCCCTTTTTTTATAATATAAGGTGATAAAGGAGCCAGCGGCCACCTGAATCCACCGAAATGGAAAGCGACCGCTGCCCATAAACATCCGCAATTGCAGATGCATTGCCTACCTTTACTTGACGGAGGAGGAGACACACATAAAGCGGACATGTCCCCTTCCTATGCGTCTCCTCCACCGTCACATCCACTTTTCCTTCCCATCCTTTCCTCTCAACAAAAGGGTGGAAAGGGAAAGGGACTAAAATTAGGCCTCCGGCACCACACTAATCAGACGAAACGCGGAATTGCTTTCACTTCACGCCTGTTTTCTGCGTGGTTGTGGTATCTCACCGGGCGAGCCGGCCCATTCGTGCGAAGATGTTAAAGCGGGCTCTACCACTGCCTCTACCGACTGAAAAGTACACTAACAAATATTAGACAATTTTTGTCAATGACGTCACGACAGCGTCGTAAAAAGTGTATTTTCTTATTTGCATTTTGCTTTGCTAAAAAAAGCTTACCTGGATTTGGTATTATTCATAATGATGTAAAGAATTTATATAAATTTTGAAATAAATTCCAAATTGTAATTCAGATTGCAGGTATTTGTGCTCAGTCTAGAAGTTTCATGTATACTGAGCATGTTCAATCAATTATGCAAAATTATATTGGTTTTCATAATATACATTGAATAAATATATTACTCAATTACTTACTTCTATCTAGCTATTTCATTACAGTAAATACATATTAATTTAATATTTATTATGAAATTAATACACCTTAATTACATGAGTAGTAAAACATACTCTTTTATCTATTCTGGGCCACAATTTCATTTATTTTCAACTAGCTTTCGCTCACGACTCCATGCGCATGGAATAAAGAAAACAAAAGTGAATAGCCGATGTGTTCTTCCAGACTATCTCCTACATTTATACCAAATTTCATGTAAAACCGTTCAGCCGTTTAGGCTTCAAACTCTAACAAACATCCATCCATCCATCTAAACTTTCGCATTTATAATATTGGTATTAGTATGGTGTAAAACATCATATTCAAGAAAACTGTTGTCTTTTTTTTATAGTAAAAGTGGTTTTGTTCATAAAAACTATAAATAAAGTAAAGTATTAAATAAAGTAATCATAACGTAAAAGTTTTCTGTTCTATTTCAAAAGACTTATCTTGATGTGGTGATGTGTTTTACAGTGGTAGAGCCACTTTAACATCTTCGCACTGTAAGGCCGGCTCGCCCGGCGTAATACCACGACTACATAGAAGACAGGCGTGAAGTGGAAGCAATTCTGCGTTTCGTCTGATTAGTGTGGTGCCGGAGGTCTAATTTTAGTCCCTTTCCCTTTTCACCTTTTTCTTAAGAGGAAAGGATGGGAAGGAAAAGTGGATTTGACAGTGGAGAAGACGCTTAGGAAGGGGAAACATCCTCTTTATATGTGTCTCCTCCGTCAATTAAGGGTAGGCAACGCATCTGCAATTGCGGATGTTTATGGGATTTCGGTGGATTTAGGAGGCCGCTTGCTCGTTTGCCACCTTATTATTATAATAAAAAATATGTTTTACATATGTTCATCTCTATCATTTTTCTTGCAAAAGTAGAGACAAGGATATTTTTATGTGTTACAGCAGTGGATTTCCATTGCTCTATTATAAGTATAATAGATTTATATGCAAGTATGGTAAATGTTACAACAATAACACACTGTATTTTTGTTTCGATTTAAGTTTATATTTAAGTTAAATCGAATGCGCTACGTCAACTTGAACCTCGAGCGGAATCCGTTTTGAGCTGCATAATTCGATCACGCCCGCCTCCGAGCGTACCAGAAAATATGTGTTCTTCACGCAACTATAGAATGTAAGTTATAGGCGACAGCGATTAAAGATTCTAGCTTAAATGTATAGTAGTCACTATTTTACTTTACGACTAAATATAAAAAGAACTGGAAAAGACAAATCATAATTTATTTCTCGTAAGTATTGTAATTTTGAATTATTTATCTTAACTGAAATTTACAAGTTTTGATTACGCACTGAAACTTTATATAAAAAACAAATAACAAAAAAACAATTATATGTATTTTTAAAGGACAAAGCTTTTGAACATAGTAACGGAACAGCGTTTAACATCTTAACGCTTTTCGCTCATAACTTGTACGGTGTTTGAAAAATTTGCTCGGTATAACATTGTCAAAGCTCTTCAGGCGCTCGGTCAGCAATTTGAATGCGACGTGATGATAATACTGATCACTGTTCCTCGACTCATTGCTACTTTAGTTGTAAATGTATCACCGTGTCGTTGTCAAACATGCTACGAGTGTTGATGTCATATGTTATGCCAAATGTATAGGCTTTAACGGATGTTACTATAATTGTTTATTAAGCCATCTATATCAGTAGGATGTCAGCAATCACAGTATATTTTTGAAAAACTATTTTTCTAATAAAAAGCTTGTAATACGTTTAAGGCTATATATTATCATGCTACTAACCTTATGAAGCAAATAATTTGAAAAAAATCGTCATACGGGAAAGGGCCAAAAACTATAAACTGACAACATCAAGGAAGTAAGGTTGCCATAGTGACGGTAATTTTTATGAAATTTCAAAGGCCATCGTAGTTATTTGTGCATTTTCACGAGGATGACACCGCACGGGAACAGCTTGTATTTAGTTAAAATATATTTCAAGTAGACTAAGACAACACTTAGAAAATAACTTGACATTTAGTAAATATTTTTATGTGTCTACGAATATATTTTTCTGTTTGTTTTATTCTATGTCGTCTCTATTTTTGGTGTCAAAACCTAAAAATCCAATCCAATTTCGTTTGAATACAGCAAATGTGAAATCCAATA